TTGGGACGGATGTGTGCAGATGCCATGCTGCGCCCAAATGGATTTATCACGTCACCCTCAGAATGAGCTGATGGAGGGGTTGTTTGTTTGAAGCTAATTAGGCAGAAATTTGTTTTCATTCCCTCCTTATCATGCCACAAATTGATCTAATAGGAACGGTGCGGCGTTCGAGGAAGGCGCCGATCAGGAGGGACACTCGCTTCCTTCCAATGTCATGAGATCTGTCCGATCTGTGTACTCAACGAAGAGGAGACATACTGGTGCAACTTTTGATTACATCTAGACTAGACTAGACTAGAAAAAGAATGGGCTACATTAATCTAGACTAGACTACAACAGAATAGAGACTCTTGAAACAAAATGTAATTTATATAACAATTCATATAACAATATAAAGGAATAAGGTATCACAGGTTGTTATTTGAAAATTGACCAATCAGTAGCCAGGACCATAACTAGTACAGAAAAGAATAGAAGAGAATAGCGTAGAATAGAACATACAACAATCCTACTATACATTTTATAAGTTTTAATTACATTTAGACTAAAAAAGTAAATATAAATAAAAATAAAATATTAAATACAAAAAAGATTTTAAAAATACATATTATATATAACAGCAATAAACAAACAAACAAATAAAAAAATTAAAACAATATAAAAAGAAATAGGTACAATAGGTTGTTACTTGAATATGAATTAGAAGCATAGCACAGAAGAGAATATTAATTATTATGAATTCTGCACACAAACATACTTTTTGATTCCATTTAGATTAAAACAGAATAAAATAAGCTAAAGTAAAATAAAATAAAATAGAATAAAATAAAATAAAATAAATAGATGCATAATATAAAAAATAGATAAAAATATTGTGTCTTTGCTCTGTACTCTTCTTGTCATTCTGTAAAATGTAGTTATGATGTTTAATAAAAAAAAAAAAAGAATAAATGTGATTCATGTGTAGCGTGCAAAAAAATAAAAAATAAATAAAAAGCCTAAAACATAACGAAATTTAAAAAAAAAAAAAATGAAAGGAAAAAAGTACAGCAGGTTATGTTAGTTGAATATCGAATAGAATAGAATATTAATTATGAATTACATTTCTAAATATAACTTTTGATTCCATTTAGATAAAATAGACTAAAATAGGCTAAATAATTTTAAATTAAATTAAATTAAATTAAACTAAACTGACACATTACAAAAAAACAACAACTTGCTATTGACCAATCGGAAGCCAGGACCAGAACTAGCATGGAGCCGAACCGAACAGAACTATGCTCTCAAACTAGTCTAGAAAACTTGGAACACAGATGTTCCATAATCTGACTATGAATTGTATTTGTCCATATGGGATTTGAAGGTGGCTGCAAATGTTCTCAGTGTTCATCATCGACTATTCAGTGCTGCCAAACATTCACATGCCAACTGTGCTCTCAGACACCACAGATTTAAAACAACCAGCATTAAACTTTCATCCGTTTCTGCCTTTCAGCTTCACTGTGCTGCTTCGGTTTTAATTTATGTTCATTTCAGAGGAAGATCAAATTCCTTTGGGATGACAAAATTATTAATTAGAGATCAATTTTGAGGTGCTTCGCTCACATATTTACACGACACATTAAAACGAATGACTAAATGATGAGACATTTTATGAAAATGTAAGAGGTGTTTGTCCGTGCAAAAACTCACCACTAGAGTGTTGTGAGTGGATGTCAGGGAATTGCTATGTGGTTGCTAGGTGGTTTTACTGTATTTACATTATTGCATGAAAAGATCCTCTGTGGTTTCCAAATATTGATTCCATTTAGATTAAAATAGACTAAAATAGGCTAAAATAATAATAAAAA